AGAGCGGTGGCGCAATGGTTAGCAAACCGCACGACGAACCAGGCCACCCAAGTTCACGACCAATAATGGTGGAGAAAATTTGAACCGGTTCTGAGCGGCCCCTTAGATCGACTCAGCCATACATGAGTGCCTGGTGCCGTGGGCAGGAAACATCAGCACTGGGGATACAAAGGCGGTCGGGCGTAGTGTGTGCCATTTCGGCCTGCATAGGTGCTACTCGCTAACAACACTTACCCGAAGCAGCATGTTAAAGGCTATACGGGGGATCTTTGTCTTTGTTTGTGCACGTTCGTGTACTTATTAACTCACAACACGCCGAAACACCTTACAAAAGCGCAAAATATTCGCCCATAACACCGTGGCCTCAAACAAAGGAAAGCGATGTACAATAGGCGACGTTTCGGGAAATAGCCCGTCGTCTTAGCACTTAGATCAGCACAGACGGACCAATCACAGGAGGCGTCTCTCTGAATCAATTGACGCGCACGATATGTCAACGATGGCACACACACAGACAGATATAAACACTCGATCGCCCGTAACGTTACGGAGACTGCCATGGGAAAGGACTCTTAGCGAGCACCTATTATAGCAGGCACGGCACATTAGGAGCCGGTCGCGCTGCTGTCTCTCCCAACGATGTTTTTTCTTCCACTTCTTTCAAATGGTACCAGCAAACGAATTCAAGGCTGAGCCGACCTTGGGGAGGTTGGGGAGCGTGGGGGGTGACGGGATATGTTCAGGTACCACGTGGCACTGGTGTTTGCCGTAGCCGGGACTCGAACCCAGGTCTTCGCACACAGTGATTCATCTTGTGGTGATTTTTTCTTCAAAAACAAATATTCACTCAATATCTATGACTATGAAAATGGAGCATTGCCCCAAACGTCGCCTATATATACATTTGTTATATTTCTTTTTGGGCTCCGGTATCATTATTAGTATTGACTCGAGGCGTGTATTTGTTGTTATTGCTGGCTGTGCCTGTGTGCTACTATCAAGGCAGTAACTGCCAAGGCAGTAGCAGCATAGCAACATTTTGCTTTTATTGCGGTTTTTTGCATTTAATCTATTCCCGAAAATAAACACAATCATAAAAATAGTTATTAGAAGTATTTACGTTTTTCACGTGGAGGAACAGATACGGAAATGAAGTAGGTTGTCTGCTGATCGATTGAGTGTTATACATTCTCCAGAACGCCGCTGATTGTTATTTTGTGTTGCATATCATGGAGTTGTTCGGTCAACTCGGACCGTTGTCTAACAGAGAGGGCCCTTGCCTTTACACATTTGATGGTTCAACCAGCATTGGTCCAAGTGAGCCTAACTGCTGATGAGACTCTAAATGTCAAAACCAGCCCTTGCCTATACAAATTTGGCTGTTCAACCAGCATTGGTCCAAGCGAGCATGCCTGCTGATGAGACGCTGAAAGTCAAAATCAGTCCTTGCCTATACACATCTGGCGGTTCAACCAACATTGGTCTAAGCGAGAGCCTGTCGATGAGACTCTGAATGTCGCGAAACCGGCCCAGAGTTGTGCTTAAATAGAACGAATCCTGTTGTAATACCACTCCCAGAAGGAAGCGGAGTGCGGCTGATGGGATGTGTAAAACAATAGTTTTGTTTGCGTATCGTGGGGTGATAAATGTGAAGGAGGCGTTGTGTCTGCTTGTGTCCATTGTGCCGCGAACACAAACGGCTCGACGGGCCGAGTCCCCGACGCGCAACACAGCGAGAGGCAGGGTCGTAGCCCTCGAGGGCCGAACACCGCGACCCCCATCTCCCCTGTTCAGCAGCCCCCCCCCCCCCCCCAGGTCCTGCAGGATCCCTCCTCCCCTCGCTCTCTTCTCCCCGCTCGCTGCACCCCCGCGGGACGGGCGGTCTAATTAGGAGGCGCGCGAGCGTCGGGCATGCTGAGAGCGAGCTGAGAGCGAGCATCCCATAACGAAGCTCTAATTCATTTGGGCGTGTTATTTTTAAATTACGTGGAATGCTCCTGACATTTAGATTAATTTGATTGTCTGAGTCTCCCACGACACGTCCGTGCAGCTAAACACTCCCGCTCTTCACAAACATCCATCTCATCACCCCCACCCTCACCTCACCACCCTCCCCCACCATCACTCCCTCCCCCACCGCCTCCCTCGCTCAGCGCTGACAAGCAGATGAGCTACAGACTCCCCCCCCCCCCCCTACACGGGAGAGTAACTTCACCACGGATATTATGTGTACATCACCACCATCATCGCCATCATTATAAATACTCCTCTGTGTGCAACTGCGGCTACATACTCCCAAATCATGGACCACAGAACTTCGCATAGTCCCACATATACACGTGAAAGCGGTGGGTGAGTGAGTGAGTGAATGGGTGAGTGACTATGCGCGTGAGTGGGTGGGTGGGTGCGTAGGTGGGTAAGTGAGTGAGTGGTTGAATGAATGGGTGGGTGAGAGGCAGAGTGAGTGGGTGAGTTAGTGGGTAGGACAGTGAGTGGGTGGATGAGTGGGTGAGTGAGTAAGTAGGTGGGTGAGAGGGTAAGTGGTTGTATCTGCAACTCACCAACTCTCAGCAATTGAACGGGCAAATCACACGGAACGTATTCTGCAAGAGCTGCTCTTCATTGGCCACACGAAATCAATTAGTCAACCAACCACCGTCATGCGAGATCAAGGACTCCGACAAACTGTGAAAGCAGTGAGATGCAAACCATGAGGCGTGCAATATCACTGATGACTGCTCAACAAAACACGCGGTGGAGCGAGCGAGCGTGCTCCACCCAGCTGCTACCCTGGATGCTGCTGTGGAATGGCCACATCTTCCTGGTCAGCTCCTTCCACGCTGACGTCTCACAGAACACGCAGCTCGCAAGGTCTGGCGGAGCGCGGGCGCGCGCGTGTCACGGAGCCCGAGAAGAGCCGAGAGGAGCGCGCAGATGAACCGCGGGCGCGCGTTTCCGTGCACGGGCGGACTGCGACTCCAGCGCGGCTTAGGGGGGGCATGGGAGGCGGGGGGGGGGGTGAGGCGGAAGGCGGAGGAGGTATGACGAATTGGGGAACCGAATCTCAACTTATCCGACGGCGGGAGGTAGCGAAGACCCCCCACCTCCCCATTCACGAACTCTTTGTAGCGACCCCGTGTGACCCCCCCTCCTCAGAGCTAGTGAATTGAACCGTGATACAGGCGCTAATGCTCTATCACGCGCTCCTGTGAATCATGATAGACTGGATGGATGCATGAAAGAGAGGATAAAGGAATGAATGATCGAATGAATGAATTAGCGAATAGATGGATTAGCGAGTGAGTGAATACAGATGACGGTGGCGTTTGTTGCATGAGCGTCTCACAGCCGTTATCAGTGGCGCCGCTGTGACAATGAAAGGCGTCTGGTTTGGGGGGGGGGTCACAGTGGAAGGGGTGCGGGCGGACAGCCGTGCGTGTTGTTGGGTCCAGGGGGCTGGGGACGTCCCGGGGCCCCTCGCGACGTAGAAATGTGTCGTCAATTAACGGCGCTGTCGCAAATTAACCCGCGACCAGTCGCGCCTGTTTGCTCATCAAAGCGACTTTCAAAACGTCTTCGAGGCGTCGCGTTGAGAGACAAAGGCGCGCGTGTTTCCGCTACGAGAATGCGCGCTGCTTGCTCCGGGCAAGGCTCGTTTCAGTGACGGAGCCCTTCCCCATCCTCCTCCTCTTGCCCCCCCCCGTCCCCATAGCCCCCACAGCCCCCACAGCCCCTCCCGTCCACCCCCACCTCGCAATAGCGGCCGAGCCCCCGGGTCGCTGATGGAGGCGCGCGGGACGCGCAGTCGACGACGCAGAGAAAAGAAAACGCGACCCACGATGAACAACAACGCCGCAGCCAATCAGAATCGCCCGTGGAGGCACACGGGTGGTGTGCGGGGGGGGGGGTAATAATGGGCGCGACAGAACCAAGTATGGGGAGCAAGGGGAGACGACGGCCAGAGTTGGCGCTCGGGGTACAGAGGGGTTGAAGTTGCCGATTGGTTGCAGAATTCTTTTTCTGAACTCCAGACATGACCAACACCCCCCCCCACCTTGCCCTGCCCACCAGACCCTCGATGGCCCCCGACTCCTTCATCCCATGCGCCCTCCCCGCTACTCCCATCCACAGCCCTCCTCCACCCGAAGCTCCTTCCTCTGCCTCGCGTCCGAATTATCAGCAGTGCTGCACAGACCACGCGTCGAACCTGCCCCGAGCGGGTATCATTCATACTCGATGGGGGGCCCAATAAGCATAGCAAAGTAATACAATCTTGACATGAAAGGTGCTGAGTCTCAAGACTAATTTACAGGCGAGTCCTGCCCTGGAATGAGGGCCCCGATGATTGTATAACGAGTTGGGGCTGTTCTTGCTTCGTGTGGGAGGTGAGCGGAGCACTCGGAGAAAACCGCCCACGCGTTCGATGGGGATAAAACAAATCAAATGTCTGCACAGATAGGTGCGTGAGCCCGCTCGCTCTACTCGCCACCGCATGGTCACTCACCCAGCCCTAGCGCGTTTGGGAGTTTCAAAATCCCTACATGATCCACCAACCCCACCCATCTCACGCTGCATCCTCCACCCTCGCGCACACACCTTAAAACCCCCAACCCACACACCTTCCACACGCACACACACACCTCTCACTCCCCGAACGCACCCTCGCCGTACACACAAAAATCCCCCGTAAAGCCTTAACTGACTGTTGTGGCAAGTGCTGTTAGCGATCACCTATAAAGGCTAGCACGGCACTCGAGGGGGTGAGTGACCAGTCCCACGCCCGGCCGCATTTGTCACCCTAGGCTCAGGGTTCAAATAATAGTCGCTGGCGTTGGTCGTGAGCGGGAATCGAACTTGCTTCGCCAGATTCGGAGCGCAGCGTTCTAACCGCTGCGCCACCGCTCCCCCCACGCGCACACAGCTCTCACCCCTACTACGCCCCGCACGTACCCTCGGCGCCCGCACACCCCACCACGCACAACCCGAGTCCCGTCCGTCACCTGGCGCTCGTGCAGTCACGGTAGAGGGTCTCGAAGTCGCGGCGCGACAGCAGCTTGCAGCGGTTCACGCCGGGCTGGATGGCTCCGAGTCCGCGCAGCACCCGCACCTGCTCCACGTTGCACACGAGCGGCGCAATGTGCAGGCGCTTGAGCTTCGTGTAGACGGTGTGCAGCCCCCCTACCAGCGTCTTGAGGAAGAGCTCGAACGCCTGCGGCAGGCACAGCATCTCCTGGCCGTGCACCGTGAAGGCGGCCACGCGCGCCCCGTGCACCTCCACCAGGCGACACTCGTTGTGCGCCGGGGTGTTCTCCACGGGAGACGGAGACGCGTAGCCGCTGCGGGGCTCGACGCGGGGCGGGCACGAAGCCCCCAGGGGCCCGAGGGGACCCAGGGGACCCAGGGGACCGAGGGAACCGAGCGGTCCCGTGGGGCACGCGGGCCCGAGTTCCAAGCGCAGCACGGGGGCGTGCGCGGCACGCGGCGCGGGGCTGCATCCGCTCTCGGGCTCCAGGCGCGGCGGGCCCTCTCTGCTCTCGCCGCCGCCGCCGCACGGCACCTCGGGCCCTCCAGGGCTGCTCGCGCCGCTGCCGCTGCTGCTGTTGCTGCTGCAACCACCGCCGCTGCTGTCATCGCCGCCTCCTCTTCCGCCACCGCCGCCACTGCCTCCGCCGCTCCCGCACGACGCTGCTGCTGCTGCTGCGGGGGGCAGGAGCGACGGGCGGGACCCGTCCGCGCTGCTCCCCGGAGAGACGACGAGGGAGCGCGTCGGCGACGCGGCGGAGGCGACGGCGATGAGCGGCGGCGCTCCGGACCCGGCCACGACGGCCCCGGCCACGACGGCTCCTGCCAAGGCCACGGCCAGCTCCCGCGCCTCCATGAGCGTCTTCCTCTGCTGGGCGCTTCTCACCTCATGCCCGCGACGCGATCCGCTCGGCGGGCCGCGCTGGCGTCAGTGTCCGCGCGGCCGCGCTGCCGCCCGTGTTTGTCTCCCCGCGCGCGGCCGGGCGGGGCGGGGCGATGCTTATCGCGCGCCCTCTCCCGGGACGGAAATAAACACGCGCGCTGCGCTCTCCGCGCCGCGTTCCCCCTGCTTTCCCGGCCCGCGTAATTGACTTGTCCTGGATATTTCCGGCATCAAACAATGGGCGAAACCACGGACGCGACGAGACGCGGCGGGGCGCCCGGGGGGCCCAGATTGCGCTGCTCCTGCTGCCGTTGTTGCCCCCCACCCCGAAACTCCTGCCTCGTGCCGCGACTCCGCGTACGCGACCTCCGTTGGCTCCGTGCACCTGCGGGTGCCGCGGAGCTCGGAGCCCGAGGGTGTCGTGGGAGAGTGAGCGGCGGGTGGCGGCGCGTGGCCGCGTCGCCCCCCCCCCCCGCCGCTTGGCGCTGCGCGTTCCTGACCAAAAATAGCGCGGGCCCCACGGTCGCCCGCGCTCTCGCGAGCGGAGTGACCGCCCCGAGTGACCGTTCCAGGCCGGGCGCTGTCGCGCGTGAGCAACGCGCACGCGGCACACGCGCGCTTTGTGTACCGCTCAGGGGGGCGAGTGCCCCCACCACCCACTCCCTCCCATCTGCCCCCCCCCGTACGGCCATCCCCCCGCCTGCGGGCAGGTGCGCGCTTGAGAACGATGATTGTGTTGTTAAGGAGGAGGCGAATATATGTGGCCACAGCCCACGTCGAGGTTATGCATTGAGAGAACACTGCTTCGGCCTCTTACTTGAGCGCTGCCCCCCCCCCCTCACCCCCCTCAAACTAAAGCCGTGAGGAAGCAATATCCCCTCGCTGTCTGTGCGCCCAGGACTCGCGTTGCGTGTGGCGCCTCCAGATCATAACAAGGGCCCTGGAATTAGCTGCCAGTCTCAACTCCAACGAAAATACAAACGGTGTGAGACACGTGGTATTTGTCATTCGGTCCACCACGTGGTGTCACCACCAAGGATCTCGCCCAGACCCGGAAGAACGTTACTGCTGTCCGAACGGAGTCCAAGGGGAACAACGCAGACGTCCAGAATAAACACCTCTTTATTCCAGACCAACACATCATTGCACCTCTTCCTGGCTTTGATATTTCTCCTCCTCGAAGACACTGGTGTAACCATCACGTGCATCAGGACATCAACGGCAGACCGATGCCCACATCTCCATGAATGAAAACTTAAAGACACAAGCCACAGTTATTCGATTGTCGCCATGCAACCCAAACTATGGACCACAACAGCAAACCCACTGTAGTCTGCGCTGCTTCGACGGAGGAGAAACAGCAAAACTACACTGACTCTCTCCTGAAGCACTCTCGTGGTGACCAGCAGCCCTCAGGCTCGCGTGGCCACGCGGGTCAGATTTATTCCGTGAGTTTGAGAAATACTTGGGAAACTCCTCCCCGCCTCCTCATTCTCCGTCTCAGCCTTCTCCCCGTGCACACGGTGACCTCAGGCTTGGCGCCAGGTCCCAGGGGCCCCCCACCGCTCTGGAGGTGACACGCGCCGAGCTCCGCGCGTCCACGCCGCGCCCTCTGCCGTGCCGTGCCGAGGTCGCCGCGCGTCTCCCGCGAAGACGAAGCGAGGAGATCGCCTCGTGTGTGTGAGAGAGATTTCGTTGCTTCGTCTACTGGGAGGATGGTCCTCTCGGGCGCGTTCTATTCTCTGGCTGCCACTCCGTTATTAATGTCGACCATCGTCCATCCTCTCTTCTAGCTACGAGGTGGTGCTGCCTCTAAACCCGTTTGCTTTTTTTAGCAGTTTGAATGACATCAGTTTGACTTGTGACAGAACTGTGAACTATGAACATACCCCCCCATGATCGTAACCAATTATATTAAAGATTAAATGATGGTATTCCATTCCTGCGATGGATGGCAGCAACCAGTTCAGCAGCTGAATGCAAATGTCCAAGCGTGCAGCTGGCCACGAGGAGATGGCTTCAGCAGTGAGTTCGTTCGCTTCGTTTTCCTGTTCCTCCTCCGATGGAGGAGCGCAGACTCCAGTGGGCTTACTGTACGGTCCATAGTTTGGGTTGCATGGCCACAGTCGCAGTGGCCTAACTTTCCATTGAAAGGCATTTGGCTCGGGTGCGGAGTGGATTATTGCATCGCATGGACAGTTGAGAGAAGGCAACCGCTCGGGGAGACCTTCATCCAGCAGTCGATAGATCATGGCTTATTTACGCCCTCTATCTTACGAGGGCAGGGGAGGGGGCTGTAAGCTCACCACCTTTACCTAGAGCTCGTGGAGGCCGCTGAATGGCGCGCGTCGCTTGAGGAGAGATCCTGGGGACCTCCCGGGACCTCGAGCCTGGGTAAGCTGTCTCTACCCCCCGCTATCGCGCCCCGCCACGCTGCTACTATCGCCGAGTCTGCATCTACCAAAAGCCACAAGGTGCACGACTCAGCCGACACGTTTCATTGATAACACCTTTATTATTGTTGTTATTCGAATGGGAAATCAAGCGGTAAAAATTTACGCAAACAGAAAAAAAATCCACACGAGTTTTTGAGGCTTTGTCTTCATAACCTTCTCCTCCTCATAATCTCGAAACGAGAGTAGAGGCGCGCGCGGGACCCGCTTCGCTCTCACTGCCATCCCGCGCAACACACACACAGGAAGCACACACACAGGCAGAACACACACACGCAGCACATATACGCAGCGCACACACGCAGCACACACACGAAACACACACACAGCACACACGCAGCACTCCCACACAGGCAGCACACATACACACGCAGCACACACGCAGCACACACACACACGCAGCACACACACGCAGCACACAGCACATATACATGCGCGCGTACACACATAGCATACACACAAGCAGCACACAGACAGCGTACACACACACACGCGCAGGTACACAAACACGCAACATACGCAGCGCACGCATACACGCAGCACACACACACATACAGCGTACACGCACGCGCACATAAACACGCGCACACGTAAACACAAACGCACACGAGTGCGCGCACATGGCCACATACACACGCGTGCAAACACACGCCAACCACACACATGAACACGCGCGTAGCATAGACAAATAATAATAATACTACTAATAAATACTCCCGAGGCGCGGGTTCGCAGGTGCGGGGCGCGAGGATAGCGCGAGACGAGGGAGACGGAGAAAGTGAGAGACAGGGGCTCCGTGGCGAGCAGCACCACCAGCACCACCAGCAGCACCACCACCACCTGCAGCGCCGCCAGCACCTCCAGCACCACCAGCAGCACCACCACAAGCAACGCCTCCAGCACCACCAGCACCACCAGCAGCACCACCACCACCTGCAGCGCCGCCAGCACCTCCAGCACCACCAGCAACACCACCACCACCACAAGCAACGCCTCCAGCACCACCAGCACCACCAGCAGCACCACCACCACCTGCAGCGCCGCCAGCACCTCCAGCACCACCAGCAGCACCACCACCACCACCTGCAGCGCCGCCAGCACCTCCAGCACCACCAGCAGCACCAGCAGCACCAGCAGCACAAGCACCTGCAGCGCCACCAGCACCTCCAGTACTACCAGCACTACCATCACAACCAGCACTACCAGCACAACCAGCACTATCAGGACCAGCAGCCCCAGCAGCCCCACCAGGGCCACTAGCACGACCAGCACTACCAGCACCAGCAGCACCAGCACGACCAGCACTACCAGCACTACCAGCACCGCCAGCCCCACCAGGGCCACTAGCACGACTAGCACTACCAGCACCAGCAGCACCACCAGAACCACCAGCAGCACCACCAGCCCTACCCGCATCAGCAGCACCAGCAGTGCACTGCGCTACGAACTCGGGTCGCCGATTCCCGCTCACTGACAACATCAGTGACGATTATCTGAACCGTTTCTGAGCTTCCCCTATGTCGACTCAAATGAGTACCTGATGCCGTGTGTAAACAGCACCACTGGGGAGACAAAGGCGGCCGGGCGTGGTGTTGGCCACCAATGCCCTCGTGTGCCGTGCCGGTCTTCATAGGTGCTTGCTAACAGCACTTGCCCCAAAAATTATTTCAAAGCATGCCTTGGAGCATCTTTGTCTTTGCGTGTGGGAGTGTGACTGTGTGTGTGTAAAGCGAAGCGGTGGTGCAGTGGTTAACGCAATGCGGCGACCTCGGTTCGCTTGTAGACCACGGATAACATCAGTGGCAGGTGATGACAGAATCCGTCAAGGTGATTCCCCTAAGTCGACTCAACCTCAAAAGAGTACCGGGTGCGGTATATACATCAGCTCTGGTGATGATGGCCACACCACTCCCTCGAGCGCTGTCCAGGCCTGAATGGGTGCTCGCCAAAAGCACTTGCCACAAAAGTCTGTGTAGGCTATACAGTGACCTTTATCTCTTTCTCTTTTTGTGTGTCAATGAACGAATATCAAAGACAAAGATCCTCCGTACAGACTTTAACGCACTGTCGGGGAAAGTGCTGTTAGCGAGCACCTATTAAGGCCCGAACGGCGTGCGAACGGGATGGTCTGGTCATCATAACGCCCGACCGCCTTCCCAATGCTGATGTTTGACACACCGGACCAGTCGAGCCTAAGGCCCCTGGTTCAATCACTCGCCGCTGCTGTCACAGGCATGGCCCGGAAGGAATCGCACTTACTCTCTTATTCTTTCGTTAAAGTCACGTAGATAGAAGAAAAAATAATAAAAGAGAACACGACGTTTCGGTTGCAACACAAGCGTCGTGTTCTCCTTTATTATTTGTTCTATCTACGTGACTTTACCAAAAGAACCAAAGAATATGGATTCCTGCAGTCACAAAAGCTTCAAATCAAGACTGAATCGAACTTAGATCGCTGGGCTCATTGGCACACATTGCTCTTGTGACCAAGGGGCGGCTTCCGCTCATTCGCCCACGGGTCGGCTTTCTGGTCGGTGCCGTCAGCCTCTATCCACTGCTGATGTGTTAGATGAGTGTCTGCTAATTAAACCCGTTATTTGCTGCGTGATGGATGGGGAAAGAGGGTTCGTTTAAGCCCTGCACTCTGTTAATTAAATAATTGCCTCCGATTAATCACAACGCTTCATCCACCGTAGCTGCTAAACCACCGAGAACCCGTCTTAAACAGCGGTAAATATGTTTTGTTATCTTATGACACTTATTATATCATCAGAATTGTCTTCCAACGCGTCTGACCAGCATGGAAGAGTCGACCGCACTACCCGATCGAGATCATTCCTTGCTGTAGGAAGACTTCTTCAGCCAGCAGGCGCTTGAGCGAGCACTTGCAGGGCTGCGCTTACACCTCCACTGCGTGTGTTTTCCAGGAGCAGGTTGGTCATCGCACACCGTCGTTATTGCTCTGCCGAACATTGGGCTACTCGAGCACGGATGGAGATGGAGGCAGGTGGAGATGGAGCCAGGTGGAGGCGGATTAGGTGGAGATGGAGCCACGTGGAGATGTACCAGGTGGAGATGAGCCAGGCGTAGATGGGCCAGGAGGAACCGAGTGAAGCTCTGACGGCACTGGATGAAGTGGAGCTTTAGCCAGGTCAAGGAGAGGGTCTGGTAAAGGTGGATCTGGTTCAGCTGGAGCTGGATCAGCTGGACCTGGATCGGCTGGAGCTGGATTAGCTGGATCCGCTGGAGCTGGATCAGGTGGAGCTGAATCGAGGGCCGGGTTCAGGTGAGATCCCCGCTCGTCACACGGCCGTGGGTTTCCCGGCTGCGGGTCAGGGAGGGGGGGGGGGTCACAGCAGCGGCGTGAGTGGAGCCTCTCCCACGCGCGTCTTCACTTAGCACGCAGGGAAGCTCCTCGGAGTCTCAAGACTCCTTGTCACGAGGGTGCTGCTACGTTGGCATGATTGGCCAATTCCATTGTTTAACAATGAGGATTGCTTCGATTCGTGTCGGAAGAAAACCGGAATGCCCGGAGAAAAGCAACCGCCTAAGCGAGGGGTATCTCACTCCGATAGTATTGCTGCTGCTGTTGCATTGGCAGTGGTGGACTAACGACACGTCAACACGCTCAGCAATAACGCTCTATGTGTGGCCTGAAAAATAAAAACATTGGGTACGTTTTGGCCAATGACTCTCTTTCATAGAGGAGCAAGGAGAGGGACAGGGCGGACGATACGAGTGGTGGGTTGCGCGTGCTTAAACCGCGGGGCCTGGTGATGCTCATGAGAATGACATCTTAAACAATGTTTTCTAATTAAGTCAGTATTTTTTTTACTGCCACGTGAATAGTTACACTAATAGTATCTGTTGGGTAACAGACAAGCCCTTCACTAATCGCAAACGTATGACGAGATGCACTCAGTTATATCAAAAGTAAAATGTCCACCGCGAGGCGCTCCAGGCCTTCTGCGGTGCTGCCACCTCGTGGCCTCGCAGCTGCGGGTTGCAGGAACGGAGCGGGGTAATGGACGCGGTGGCAGCTCCGCTCGTCGCTCTCGTAGAGAGACAGAGAGCGAGGGGACGACTCAGAGGCGCCAGGAGGAGGCACCACAGACGAGGAGCGGGAAGGCAGCAGCAGCAGCGGCGGCGGCCGCCACGCGGCGAGGAGCCGGCGTTACCAACAATAGCCCAAGGTCTGCCAACTATTGAGTGGTTTACATGTCGGAGGAAACCGGAGCACCCGGAGAAAACCCACGCGTGCGAGGGGGAAACACTCTATCCCGTACAGATGGAACAGGCAGAGTCCACATGTTTGCTGTACCGCCTTCTGAGGAGGCAGGGGACGGCACCTGCTGAACGCCGGCTGGAAGGGAGCGTCACAAGGTCTGTGCGATCCACCAACCCTTGACTTCAAAGGAAGGCGAATGAGGAGACGATGGAAGCCTCGGGGTGAGTGTGGGGATGTGGGGTAGAGAGCAATGGAGGTGACCGTGGAGGATGCTGGAGGGGTGACGACAGTAGGTGAGGTGCGTGTGAGGTGGGTGAGAGGTGGCGATGATAGGTGGTGAGGGTTGGTGAGGTGGTTGTAGGGGAGTGATGTGAGAGAGTGAGAGAGGAGGGTGAGATTTGGTGAGGAGGATGATGACAGGGGGTGGTGAGCGGTTGGTGAGGTTAGTGGTGGGTGGTGTTGATGGGGGATTGTGAGTGGTCCGAAAGGTGGGTGGAGTTGCAGATCCATGAGGCAAGATGAGTACCCGGTGAGGGGCTGGTGAGGGGCTGGTGAGGGGCTGGTGAGGGGCTGGTGAGGAGCTGGTGAGGGGCTGGTGAGGGGCTGGTGAGTAGCCGGTGAGGGGCTGGTGAGGGGCTGGTGAGGGGCTGGTGAGGGGCTGGTGAGGGGCTGGTGAGGGGCTGGTGAGGGGCTGGTGAGGGGCTGGTGAGAGGCTGGTGAGGGGCTGGTGAGTAGACGGTGAGGGGCTGGTGAGGGGCTGGTGAGGGGCTGGTGAGTAGCCGGTGAGGGGCTGGTGAGGGGCTGGTGAGGGGCTGGTGAGGGGCTGGTGAGGGGCTGGTGAGAGGCTGGTGAGGGGCTGGTGAGTAGACGGTGAGGGGCTGGTGAGGGGCTGGTGAGGGGCTGGTGAGTAGCCGGTGAGGGGCTGGTGAGGGGCTGGTGAGGGGCTGGTGAGGGGCTGGTGAGGGGCTGGTGAGGGGCTGGTGAGGGGCTGGTGAGAGGCTGGTGAGGGGCTGGTGAGTAGACGGTGAGGGGCTGGTGAGGGGCTGGTGAGTAGCCGGTGAGGGGCTGGTGAGGGGCTGGTGAGGGGCTGGTGAGGGGCTGGTGAGGGGCTGGTGAGGGGCTGGTGAGGGGCTGGTGAGGGGCTGGTGAGTAGCCGGTGAGGGGCTGGTGAGGGGCTGGTGAGGGGCTGGTGAGGGGCTGGTGAGGGGCTGGTGAGGGGCTGGTGAGGGGCTGGTGAGGGGCTGGTGAGGGGCTGGTGAGTAGCCGGTGAGGGGCTGGTGAGGGGCTGGTGAGGGGCTGGTGAGTAGCCGGTGAGGGGCTGGTGAGGGGCTGGTGAGGGGCTGGTGAGTAGCCGGTGAGGGGCTGGTGAGGGGCTGGTGAGGGGCTGGTGAGGGGCTGGTGAGGGGCTGGTGAGGGGCTGGTGAGGGGCTGGTGAGGGGCAGGTGAGGGGCTGGTGAGGGGCTGGTGAGTAGCCGGTGAGGGGCTGGTGAGGGGCTGGTGAGGGGCTGGTGAGGGGCTGGTGAGGGGCTGGTGAGTAGCCGGTGAGGGGCTGGTGAGGGGCTGGTGAGGCTATGTAGGGGACCACCTCTCGCACGGGAGTAGCAGGTGGCGCAGTGCAGCCGCGCGCCCCGAATGCGAACGTCCGCTCCCGTCCCCGCTCCCGTCCCCGTCGCGCTCGCAGCCAGCGCCCGGCCACAGACGCCACACTGGCGGAGGGGGGCGGGGGGAGGAGGGGTGGGGGTCATTCGCGAGGCATGTAACGCCAGCACCCTCGTCCCTGTAATGGTGGTCCAAGTTGGTGGCGGGTTTCATGTGAGAGGTGTTGGGGCGATCGGGGGGGGGGGGGGCTGACCCCCCCACATTGAGTGGAGTTATTTTTACTATCGAGAAATAACTATAGACCAATGACTGTGGACCCAACGACTACCGTTACATGCCGAGCTCGTGTTAGTTCACATGGAATGAGACGCGCGCGTGCAAGGGGCGCAATGGGTGGGTTGAGTAGGAGTGGGGGGGGGGGGTGATGTAAGTGTGCCGATGTGCCACCCTCCTTCCTCTCCAGGGGGGAGGCGGGATCCCCACCTTGAAGCACTCCATGTGGTAGTATAGACCCACGGACTCAACGATCATAGCGGCGCCTTTCCCCAGGGGGCACCCACACGCCGTGCACAGCTTCCTGCCGCTCACGGACCTGGGGGGGGGGGGGGGGTAGGAGAGCGGCAGTGGCGGCGTGGCGAGGTTGGGCAGCGAGAAGGATTTTGTCGCCATCGCCTGGTGACCGCGTGAGGCTGCCGCTTGGATGCCGCGTGTCCCCTGAGACGCGGCACGAGCGACGTGTATCTGCACCACGTGTCTCTGCACCACGTGTCTCTGCACCACGTGTCTCTGCACCACGTGCCTCTCTGTGACGCAGGGTGCGCGCGTCGTCCAAGCACGCGTCCCTGTGGCGACTGCGCCCGCCTCACCTGCTGGGAGACGTCGGCGCTGACCCCCGCTCGGGGGGCGGGGTGGGGGTCGTGCCCGCCACTCCCTCCGGCATCGCCTTGAGTCGCACGGACTGCTGCGAATCTTCGCCGCCCTCCGTGGCACCCACGGCGCCCTGCCCAGCGCCCCCCGGAGCCTCCTTCCACCTCCTCGTTTCTTCCTGCCACCTCCTCCTCCTCTCCTCCTCCTCGAAGCCCATCACCTGCTCCTCCAGCGACCGCTTCTGCTCCTCGAACTGGCGTCGCAGCTCGTCCCTGTTGTGCTGCTCGGCGCGCTCCATCTCCACCTCATCCTTCTCCGTCTTCTCGTTGGCTTCGTGAGCCCCCCCTCCCGCGTGAGGGGGGTCCCCCGCAACCTTGGCCCCCCCGTGAAGCGAGGACAATTTCCCGCGCGTCTCTATGTGGAACGCGGGGGGCTCGGCGCGGCTCTGCGAGGTCGGCGTCGACTTGATAGTCACGCCGGGAGGGGCGGCGAGCAGAGCGTGCGGGGTCAGGGGAGCGATCGTCTCTGCCAGGATTCGCTTCTCCTGCGGAGCGGGTGAATGACAATGACGAGAGAAATGGGGTGGGTGGGGGGAACGGGGGAGTCATTGGAGGCAAAGACATGAGAGACGAGAGTGTCAGGGGGGCATGATCGGGACGGGAAAAATGAGACAGGGACCAGGACGAAACAGCGGAATCGAATTCCTGTTAAAGGTGATTGACACTTTCTGTTGCGTTAGATGGTCAAAATTCACTATAACCGTTCAACCGTTAGAGCCAATCAAATGGAGCTGTCAGGCGTGGGGGAGGGGGGGGGCAGTGGGTGGTGCCCAGGAGGTGGTATGATCCCGGAACGTCGCGGCGCGCATGGTCGCGTGAGCTACCTCTTCGTGATACCGCCTCTCCTCCTTCTCCACCTCGCGCTGGGAGCGCTCCCACGCCTGGCGCAGCTTCTCCTGCTCCTGCTGGTAGCGCTCCTGCTCGCAGCACGCACAGCACACGCCGCACACACGCAGCACACACCCAGTACATGCAGCACAGAGTACGCGCAGTACACACGCAGTGCACACAGCACACGCAGTTACACGCAGCTCACAGCACGCACGCCCCGAACCCCATCGCCAGATGCCAGGGTATGGACCTCATCCGTAGCCCATGGCGCCTCGCGGCTCCAGGTTGAGAAGACTACAGACTCCACCTCGGAGTTTCCAGTCTCGGGTGCCGTCTGCAAGCGGATGTATTGACGACCGGTTGATGATTATGGTGCTTGAAGTCACGGTATATATCTTCGTGATCCACCAACTCCTGCTTCCAACACACCGCTGGGTCACAGCGCTGTAGCACCTGAGCCTTGGAAAACCCGGGGTGGAGTTTGTTAGCCTCCTCAACCTGGTGCCACGAGGGCCCCCCCGCCTCCCGCCCCCGTACCTGGAGGTGCCTCTCCTGTTCCTGCTGCCACCGCTCCTGCCGACTCCTCTCCGCCTCAAGGTCCCAGGTCCAATTGCCCATCCGCGCACCAGGCCCCTGGATTCCCTCAACAGGGGCCTAGAGGAGAGTTTTCAAAAGAAAAAGAAGGGGGTGGAAGGGGTCGCGAGGGGGGGTGAGAGGGGGGCAGACGTCTGCGACCCGCGGGTTTCAATCAACAATAGGGTAAATCGCCCGTGCGTGAACAATGTGTAGTCGGTATCAGTACGAGGGAGACAAAGGGGGCCGAGCGTGGGGTGGTGCGCCGTGCCGGCCTTCATCGGTGCTCGCTTAATAGAACTTGCCCCGACAGCCTGTTAAAGGCTATACGGGGGATCTTTGTCTTTGTTGTGAGCGTGTCGCTGTGTCGTGAGCTCCACGCGCCACCCGACTCACGTCTGCGCCGCGGACGTCGACTCCGCCACCTGCGGAGAGAGCAGAGCGCAGGGAGGGAGCGTGGTGGCCTCGCGCTCGACGGGGTGCCCTGGTGAACGGTGCAGGGGCGCGCGCGTGAACCATCCCGGTGGACGTGAGTGAAAAGAAGAGGAGACCGATGGTGTGCCGACGTCGCGGTCCGCATTTTAATTGGGGAACTCGTGGCAATCATCTCCCTCCCCCCCCCCCCCCCCACCACCGCGAATACAGAGCAGGACCGTCCTGAAACAGAGCCGCAGGACTCTCCTGTGTGTGGGCAAGCGGACTGGTGGTGGGATGGGGCTCGTTGCGGGTGAATCTCCGCTCCGCGCCTCCACGAATCAATCAAATAAATGTCCACCGGCCTATTTAGTCCACGAGGCCACACCAGACATATCTCTCGTGTTTTACAATCTCTTAATGTGGCCGACAACAGTGCACCATATGAGCGGGGCTGTCGAGTCATCACTAATTATCCGATGTCGCAATCCGGCCCGTCCACTAAGTGGCTTTGCTGATCAAAGCAGGCAAACTCTGAAGCGGTTTATAGTCCATAGCCGCTGGCTGGTGGGTAGACAAAGTCGGCCAGGCGTGGCACTGGCTGGTCACCCATTACCCTCGTGTGCTCTTCCGGCATTAACAGGAGCCACGGTGGTCGTCGTCGAGGCTACACAGGAGGAGTCGGGGGCTGGGGGGGGGGGCTGGGGGGGGGGGCGGGGGGGGGGCTGGGGGGGAGCCTCGTACCCGTCGCGCCGGCCACGCCGTCTCTCTGCCCCTTGGTCCCCAGTCCATTGGCTGGTCCAGCTTCGCGATACGGACTCTACACAGACACACAGACATAGATACAGACATCCCGTTATCTTTGAAAAGGACTGTTGGGTCAAGTGATTTAATTAGCGAGCACCTATGGAGGTCTGGCACGCCACACGAGGGGGTCAGTGGCCAACACCACGCCCGGCCGCCTTTGTATCCCCATTGCTGAAGTTTTACACACCGCACAAGGTACTCATTTTGAGGCTGAGTCGATCTAGGGGACGCCCAGAACGGGTTAAAATATTCGCCACTATTATTGGTCGTGAGCAGGAATGGAATCCGGGTCGCGGGGCTCGTAGCTCAGGGAGCCAATCACTGCTCTATCACTCCCCCGCAGCCCTACGAAGCCAGGTTTGCACCTCGTCGGCGATCACTGCCAACATGCAAGCAGTGCAGTTGTTTCCTTGGTTACAAAACGCCAATTAGCCAAGAGCAGTGAAGGGTCGCAGTTGCTGTAGACCCCGCACGTGCGTCTCACCAGGGTGCCGAGCGCGCTCCCGGTGACCCCTCCCGCCGGGGGCATCCACATCCCAGCGGACGCCGCGGGGGTCGTGGGGGTCCGGGTTTCGGGGTTCCGGGGCCCCGCGCCCCCGGCGTCCGTCGCGGGGGGCGCCTCCCAGGGGGGGATCACGGCTCCCCGGGCGCCGCGAGTGGCCGCGCCCTGCCCCTTGGCCTCGCTCCCGTTCGGAGCCGAGCTCTCCTCCCCCGTCTGTAGGATCGAGAGAGGGAGCGTGCACGATCTAACCCATTCTCCGATGTATGCATTCGCTAATTCCCTTCGTTGTTCATTCACCCATTCACTCATTGAACCATTCACTTATCCATACAATAATCAATTAGTCCACCCATTCATTCGTTCATTCACGTATTCATTCACTGATTTGTTCATACATTTCTTCAATTAACTTGTGAATTCGCTCAATCACTCACGTATTAGACATTTCGTTCACTGAATCCTTCACCATTTCAGTCATGGAAGTATTAACTCACGTATTCATCATCAGCATAATAATTATTATTAATTGTGCAGCAAGGGAGGGGGTACTCGGGCGGTAGGCAGCCTGCACCTTCGGATATCGCAGCATGGCCTGCAGCTTCACGGGCTGTGCCCGGTAGGGACGAGGCGCGAACACGGGCAGGAGGCGCGCCGCGGAGGAGGAGGAGGAGGCGGCGGCGGCGCGCGCGGCCACGGACCCCGGAGACCCGGGGCCGCCCGTGGGGGACCCAGCGGGGACCGGCGAAGCTCCGCTCCGCGTCCCTCGCGCCTCTGACGCCGCCTCGGCCGTCGCCACCGCCGCGTCCCCCGGGGCGGGGGCGCTCTTCGCGAATGAAGAGCGAGGAGGAGGCGTGGGCGCGTGCCCCGGAGTCGTCAAGGGCGACTCCGGGGCCGGCGCGGCGCCGCCTACGCGCGCCTCTCCCCCGGGCCGGTGGCTCGGGGGACCGCCGGTCGGGGAGGGGCACGGCTCGGAGCGTTGCCGTAGGAAGGGAACGCACGGGCGCGGGGGCGCGTCGGGATGCGCGCCGCGTGGGGGTGCCCCCGGCTGCTGCGGCTGCTGCTGGGGGTGCAGGAAGGCCGGCGCCTCGTAGCTCTCGCCCGCAAAGTCCTGCAGGAAGCGCTCCTGGTAGCTGCGCAGGATCTCCCGCGCCTCCTCCTCGGAGCGCGCGTGGCGGTACGCGTCCTGCAGCTCGCGCTCGCGCCGGGACCTGCCGAGGAGGGGGGCGGGGGGGGAGGTGGAGGGGGTGGGGGCGAGGGGGAGGCAGGGTGGGTCGAGGGAGAGAGGGGGCAGGCAGGTGGGGGCCGAGGGAGGGGTGGGTTATTAATAAGAAGGCAGGAATGGGGAGGGGGGACAGGTAGAGAGACGGACACAAGGCGGGTAGGGAGATGGAGTTTGGCAGCAGGGAGAGGGACTGAGATACACGACATGGAAGATGACACAGGGAGAGAGGGACTTCATAGATAGCAAGATGACGTCAAGGAGAAGGGTGGGACAGGGAGATGTAGGAGGGCAAGAGATGGGAACAGCAGCAGGGAGAAGGAACAGCGAGACGCAGGGGCAGGAAGAGGGAGCTCTTGCTGCGAGTATTAGTTGTGGTGATGGCGTGCGTGGTGTTCGTGTTGCTCCTGCTATTAGTTGTGTTGCTGTTGTGGCTCTTTGCAGCATCTCGCGGTCGGTGGTGTTTCTGGTGGTGATGGTTGTGTGGTGGCAGTGGTGTCGCTGTGGTTGTTGTGAGTGGTGGTGGTGGTGCCCCCACTTCTCCTGCAGCATCTCGCGGTAGGTTTTGATGCTGCGCAGGCGGCTGCTGCTCTCCCCGTCTCCTCCGCGCCGCTCCCGCTCCTCCCGCTCCTCCTTGCGTTTGATCAGCTCCTGGGACAGGCTGCGTCTCCGGCTCTTCCAGCGGGCGAGGTCCTGGCCAGAGAACGGCGAGTGGGGGATCACGGTCGGGGCTCAGTGATGCATCACCTTCATAATCGTCATCACTTTGAATCATCATCATCATCATCATCCGCTTTCAACCATCACGATCATGCAATATCGTCATCCACTCTCACCACGACCACAATCCTCTCATTATGATCAGACGCCATCATCCTCACCATCATCACCATCACCACTACCTCCATATACTCTCATCATACCACTCACGACTTCATCAACACCACCACTCTACGATCACATCACTACCATCTGCCAATCTCATCACAACAACCACCCGCTATTGTCACCATCACCACCACCATCTGCCAATCTCATCACGATGATGATGGTGGTGGTGGTGGTGGCGAGGAGCATCACCTCCTGCCAGCGCTCCTGGTCCTCTCTCAGCATGGCGTGGACGCGCTGCAGTTCCTCGTGGTGCTGTCGGCTGTGCGGTTCGGGTCCCTCACCCTGGTCGCCCTCGCTCATCCTCCTGCGGGGACACGACACTCGTCGTCGTCATCGTCATTAACATCGGACAGGGGACTCACCCCGCTCTATCTTTAACGGGCTGTTGGGGCAAGTGCTGTTAGTGAGTAGCGCGCCCATAAAGGCCGCCACAGCACACTACGGAGGTGGCCAGCACCACGTCCGAACGCCTTTGTCTTCCCAGTGCTGAAGTTTACACACCACACCGAGTACTCATTTTAAGGCTGAATCGACCTAGGGGAGGCTCAGGGACCAGTTTAAATATTCGTCACTGGTGTTGGCCGTGAGCGAGAATCGAACTCGGGTGGCTGGGTGTGTAGCCCAGCGCGCTCACCGCTACACGACCGCTGCCCCTCGCGTTCGCACCACCCAGTGAGGACATTCTGCACTCACCCGTGACCGCGTGTTGTTAGCGCACGCGTCGTGGCGTGAAACCCACAACAACCACGCGCATTAAATTCAGCAATGCAAGTGTTAGCGACTCGGCACGACCTCACACAACCGTGCTGGTAAAACACAACAACAACATCGCCATGGGTTAGTCGACCCTTCAGGCAAATGGGATGGCATGCCGACACACACAGACACTTAGAAACAGCTTAGTCTTCAAACCAGGTCATTGTTCAAGCCAGATCACTGTTCACGCCAAGTCACTGCTCAAAACCAGATCACCGTTCGGAACAGAAGCACTATCAAACCCAGCGGAGACAACCAACGTCGCCCGTCGCGTGCGAACGCAGATTTAGTGGCAAGGCATGCGGTGTGCGCGCACGCGCGCGCGTGAACGTCGCGTTAATCACTGAGATCCCCACAGGGGTCTGGAGGTCGTGCTGCGAGGTTAGGACGAGCCATGCACCTCCGCCGCTCAGACTCCAGAGCTCACATCTCTTCGTAGAGCAGGAACTTCCAATCATCGGGGGAGCCTCCTCCCATCGCTGCTTGCATTTCCCTCTCCCACCCCGGGGGGATCTCGAGTCTCGGCAAGGCGACGCCTTTGCTCCACGCGGTGCCAATCAGAACTCCTTTCGCGCTGCTCTCCAGCTGCTGTTGCTGCGGCTGATGTTGCTGCTGCTGTTGCTGCGGCTGCTGTTGCTGCTGCTGTTGCTGCTGTTGCTGCTGCTGCTGCTGTTGCTGAGAATAGGGCAGCGACTTCTTCGGCTGGGAAGCTGCAGGAACCCCTGCAGGAGCGGCCGCTCGAGTCCCCGTGTCACGGGGCACTGGCACCGCCGCCGCCTCCTCCTCGTCCGTCTCCTCCTTGACGATCTGGAGCTTCTGCCACCTGAGCAGATCCTTCTCGCTCATGGGCCCGGCGCTCACGAATTGTTTCTGCGGGGTCGTGTTCGGCGCGCTGTGAGGCTGGGGATGGGCGGGGCGCGTCGGCTGCGCTGGCTCCGGGGAGGCGGCGGCGCGTCCCTCCCCCTCCGCGTCGCCCTCTTCTCCTTTCCCGATCTGAAGCTTCTGCCACCGGAGGAGATCTTTCTCGGTCATGCCGCCCCCCGTGCCCACGAACTTCCCCGGGGATGAGGAGGAGGCGGGCGCCCTGAGTTTGTCGCTCACAGTGGCGGAGCAGCCGCTTTTGCCCTCGTCTCTCTGCCCACTGCCTTTCTCCTGCTCGCCCTCCTCCTCCCTGGAGATCTGCAGGCGCTGCCACTTGAGCAGATCTTTCTCGGTCATGGCGCCCGCACTCACGAACTGCGCGTGGTGCGCTCCCGTGCCGCCGCTGACCGGGCTCGTGGCCGCGTGCGGGGCCTTCTCGGGGCCGGGTTCGGCGAGGGGCGCTCCCTTCTCGCCCTCCTCCCGGGAGATCTGCAACCGCTGCCACCTGATCAGATCCTTCTCCGTCATGGGACCCGACGCCACCTTGGGGTGCTGCCCTGGCGCTTTCTGCTGCTGCGGCTGCTGCGGCTGCTGTGGCTGCTGTTTGTGTGCAACCAGAGGCGCTGTCGCTGCAACTGGCTCATCCGCCGCGTGCTTTTTTGCCGCCTCCTCCACCTCCTCCTCGTCTTTCTCGCTCGTGATCCGCAGTTTCTGCCACCGCTCCAGGTCCTTCTGCGACATTGCCCCCGAGCTGGTGACGTGCGAGTGCGGCCCCGAGGCCTTGCCTTGCGCTCCCTGCTTCTCCCCGCCCGCGCCCGCCTCCTCTTCCTCCTCCAGCTCTTCCCCACCGCGGCCGCCTTCGTCTCCCTCGCGGGCGATCTGAAGCTTCTGCCACCGCTCCAGGTCCTTGCGGGACATGGGCCCCGAAGAGAGGAGCTGTGGTTGGGGCCCGGAGCTCGGGGCCCGTGCCCGGCGCTTGGCAAGGTCGTCGCGTGTCGCCACCTCCGCGTCCACGACCTGAACCGCGGCGGCGGCGGCGGCGGTGGAGGCCGCGTCCCCTTGGCTGCCGAGTAGGACACGCGGCATCACTCACTCTGCCTCTCAACGCACGTGTCTCCAGTGTGACACATGCCCCCTCTGTGACACGCGTGCGCCCCGATGTGACACACGTGCACCCGATGTGACACACGTGCACCCGATGTGACACACGTGCGCCCCGATGTGACACACGTGCACCCGATGTGACACACGTGCGCCCCGATGTGACACACGTGCGCCCCGATGTGACACACGTGCGCCCCGGTGTGACACACGTGCGCCCCGGTGTGACACACGTGCGCCCCGGTGTGACACACGTGCACCCGATGTGACACACGTGCGCCCCGATGTGACACACGTGCGCCCCGATGTGACACACGTGCGCCCCGATGTGACACACGTGCGCCCCAATGTGACACACGTGCGCCCCGGTGTAACACACGTGCGCCCCGATGTGACACACGTGCGGCACCTGCTAACCTGGCCACCTCTCCCGACAACTGAAGGCGCTGCCAAGTGTGGAGGTCGGCGTCCGTGGCCCCCGCCTGGCACGCGTTGGGGGGGCCGTGCGGCCCGGGGCCTCGGGCCTGGGCCACCTGTGCTTTACGCTTGGCCAGGTCGTCTCTCTCGGGGTCTGGCCGCACCACGACTCTCCGGGGGCCCACAGCTGGGGCTGGGGCTGGCGCGGCCGCGGGCTCCCCCTCGGGAGAGAGGCCTGGCGGGCCGCCCCCCCCATGGGCGGCGTCTCCCTCGGCGGCCCCCTCTTTGCCACTGTGAGGTGGCGAGTGCAAGGACGGCAGAGAGATGTGAATAATCATGGTCACAGCAAATCAGACAACGGTTATGAAAGGCTTATGTTGTTGATACGATTCGGAAGGATAAATAATGAAGTTGATCCCACGTGCAAATAACAGAAATACTTTATAAAAGGTCAACTAACAGCAACAGTGGATTACACAGCACTCCTGTGGCAGGAGCAGACAGCCGGCCTCAGATGGACATCACAAAAGACGAGAGAGGGCACAATGGGCTCCTCAGACTGGACATCATTCCAAAAAACATCACCAGAGCAACCATGACTTAGAATCACCATCAGACAAGTCATGAGCAGAGAGGAGCATCGACATTCCTGGCCACTGAAGGAGACCTCCTCCACCCATGTGGAGATTGCGGAGAGACCTCGCTCGCTCATCCCTGCTCCCTCTCGGCGCTCTGCAGTGCTGTCGCGACCATTGCGACTGCTTTCACGAATGAGTGAAAGTGTCCGACCGTCCATTGTGGTCGACAACTTCCAGAGAACTCTCCCCACCGATGTTCTCAGCTGTCGCACCTCCAACGGTGAGAGTCTGCGGCCTTCATACGCGCTCCCACACCTCACCGCTCCCACACCTGCACCTCACCGCTCCCACACGTGCATCTCACCGCTCCCTGGTCCCGCTCTCCCTGCCCGATTCGTTCGCGCGACGCTGTGCAACTCGACCGGGCGCGTCAGCGCCCCATTATCCCTCCAAGGTCGATTAATGAGTACCACTGCACTACACTGCCACTGCACTACACTGATCTACACTGCCACTACGCTGCCCCTGCGCTGCTCCTGCGGACCTGCGCTGCAGCTGCAGCTGCTGGATGGCGTGCTCGCGCAAGCGACGCGACGCCTGCAGCATGTCGTCCCAGCGGCGCGCGTCCTCGGGGCACGAAGAGGCCGGCACGAAGCGGGCGGGCGGCACGGCGGGGGCCCCGCGCGCCGCGTCGTGCAGCCGGGCGCGTCGGGAGGCGAGGTCGTCCTTGCGCACGTCCGGCAGGGCTCGTCTCCTCCGCTGGCCGCCTCCGCTGCCGTCGACGCGCTCCCCCGCCAACTCCCCCTCGTCCCCCTCGTCATCATCAGAGTCCCACTGCCAGGGGGATTCCTCGGCTGCTGCTGCTGCCGGATGGCTCCCCGCGCTGGGTGAGCGGTCCACAAGGCATGGCCGCGGGGGTGAGCACGTGAGGTTAAGAGAGGCCGAGTGGCACGGCATTTGTCTCACGCGTGCGGCAATATTAATAATAATAATGTGACGATGTCAACTCGCAATGCCGCACCACCGCCGAACAGTATCCGCTCCCTCTCGACAAGAGAGAGAGAGAGAGGAGACGGCTCAGAGTCACTAGGAGAAAGAACCGCATACGAGCGGGAAAGCAGTAGCAGTCACGCGGCAAACAGCCAGCGCCAAATTCCTCTCTCCCTCCAAGCTCTGCTATCCTCTATATATGACGGCGTCATCGGCCAATTATTGAGTGTCTATACACGTGTGAGGAACCCGGAGCACTCGGACAAAATCCATGCATGCGAGGGGGGAGCACTCTATCCCCGTACAGATGGAACAGATGGAGATGATCCACTTGCTGTACCGCCTTCTCCTGGTCAGCCAGGGTACGGCTCCTCCACGGAAAGGGATCCACCAATCCTCGCTGCTGCATCCACGGTGTCGGATTTACAGGTCACGTGCCCAGCGACTGCTGCCCAATATCATAGTTCATAGAGCGAGAGACGGGGAGCGGGTGCGTTGGATGAGGCACGGAAATTCAAACCCCTATAAAACCAAGCTCATTATTCAGGGGTTGGAAGTAGTTGTATTTTGCGACGAACCCCGTGACCTGAGTTCAATTCCCGGGCACAGCTAATGCAAGTGGCAAGATTTATCTGAACCGGTCCTAATCCACCCCAACCTATCTTCGCTAAAGCGCACTGACCAGCGTGGTGAAGTATGGTCAAACCACCCCCATGACTGACACGGCGTGGAGTGGCCTTCATTCAGCAGTGAATTTTAAAATAAATAATACGTGACAATTACCGTGGCTCTATGCACCACGAGACTCTCACAGCTATGGGGGGACGGCATGGGGGGCCCTGATAGGAGTGGGGAGGGTGGGGGGGGGGGCGACGCCCCCGGCGCGAATCCTCACCAGCAGCGGCATCGCCATCAGCAGCCGTGGCAACAGCAGCATCATTCATCAGGGGTCGCGCATGCATCACGGGTCGCGCATGCATCAGGGGTCGCGCATGCAGCATCACAGCGCACGGGGGCTCGGGTCGGGAGACTCCGCGGTGAGCATCCCCCGGATGTTCAGAAATAGAGCGGAGCAGCCAATCAAAAGCGGAGTGGTATTCTAGCGATCTCTCCACCCAACTTGTCTCCTTGCGTTGGTAGTGATGGCGCATAAATAACATCGACACTAAGACGTCCGTCAATAACAACACTGCGTTTGACGTTAATCTGGGTAAATATAACAAGCGACGTTTCGGGCAATGGCCCTGCTCAATAGCGACATTCCTCACCACAAAACCTTTCCGTTCCCTTGTCCCCACGTGTGTGGTTATGTCGCGCCCAGGGACACACCCACCACCATCACGGCCCTCTCTGGGCCCCAGCACAGACAGCCGGCAGCCCCCTGTGTGTGTCTTGAGAGGGAATGCTCGCGGTGGTGCCTCCACGTCGATTCATCTCGATTGCTGCGCTCGCGACGCAATGGATCGATTCGTGCGCGTGTCTCGTACGCAACGGGTTCACGTGACCACCGCTGCCGATATCCAACACAGCGTAAAGCAACATACCTATGACGCAATGTAACTGCCCCCCTCCAAATTCGGACCATTCACCGTCTCGTTAGAACTGAAACGCGACCAGGTGTGGTTGCATTTTATTGCAGCTGCAGCGCGGGGCTGCCACCGTCGCCACCGTGCATGCGCCGACCGTCGGACTGAGGTCGCAGAGGTGACGGGAGCAGAGGTCAGGAGGTCACGCCCGGAATCCGTCGTCGCGCGCGGCGCCACGGCACTCGAGACAAGCCCCACGGCACTCGAGACAAGCCCCCACGGCACTCGAGACAAGCCCCACGGTACTCGAGACAAGCCCCACGGAACTCGAGACAAGCCCCACGGCACTCGAGACAAGCCCCATGGCACTCGAGACAAGCCCCACGGCACTCGAGACAAGCCCCACGGAACTCGAGACAAGCCCCACGGCACTCGAGACAAGCCCCACGGCACTCGAGACAAGCCCCACGGCACTCGAGACAAGCCCCACGGCACTCGAGACAAGCCCCAAGGCACTCGAGACAATCCCCACGGTTACTCGAGACAAGCCCCACGGCACTCGAGACAAGCCCCACGGAACTCGAGACAAGCCCCACGGCACTCGAGACAAGCCCCACGGCACTCGAGACAAGCCCACACACCGTGCAGCAGCGAGCGCGGAACACGAGGCAGAGGCGACGCCGCGAGGCGTTTTCCAGCTCCTGTTTTTATTTCTTAAAGCGACGTCGGTTGTCTGAGCGGTACAAACAGACGCGCCCTAAGATGACGACGTCCCCACCTCCTCCAGAAGGTGGTGGTGGTCGTGGTGGTGGTGGTCGTGGTGGTGACGGTGGTGGCGGTGTTCTGGCCACAAACGTCGATGTTGCTGATGTTCCACTTCACCTTGACACATGCGTGACTATTTGACAAATATCCTCGTCTGTCTATATATATTAGTCACCCCATGTATTGGTTTCATGTTAATGTTTGTGTCGCGTGGGTTTGTAATTTTGTGCTGTTTTCAACGTGGAGGTGACTGCCTGGGCCGAGTTGAGCTGCAGGGAATTTTTTCCTCACGTGATTCATTTGTCTTTGTTCTGGTTTTTGTATTCGCGTTGCTTTTTGTCAATTTGGTGACCTAAATCACTCTTGCAAACGAGACTCGCCCTGGTCTCTCGACATTTCAGCCGGTAAACCAAAACGAACTTGAAACTTGAAACTTTACAGCGACGTTTGCGACGCATAACAAGGCCAGCTGGAAAACGCCATCATCGTCATCATGCAGGGAGGCAGCGGTCGCCACGGCCACCATCACTCAGACAGTCGCATGCTCGAGCGCCGATCCTGACCTCGTCGCTCCTCCGGGCGTCGGGGTCACGCTCCCGGTGCCGTAGAAGGGTCCCACGGTGCGGGGACCGGCGTGGGGCAGCGCCACGGGCCCCGTGTACCCGTGGCTCCCGGCCACGTGCAGGGCGCGCACCGCCAGGTCGTCCCGTTCCAGGTCCGGGTCTCGAACCTCGCCCTCCGACTCGGAGCCGCTCTCGCACGCCGCCTTCGCGGGCGCACGCCGCCGGTCTCCGCTAACCCCCGGGGGAGGAGGCCCCACACCGGCCCCCACCCTCGCCCCCGGCGCTCCGGGTCTGTGCGTGAGCGCGGCGAGGGCGGGCAGACGCGGGGGGGAGGGGGGGGGTCACTCGGATAGCCGCGAGCCCCTGCGGCTCTTGCACCGAGGTCACGGCCATGACGAGGTCCTCACGGCCAATGTCGCCGACGCCATGCGCACCTCGCCGTGGCCTCCTTCCTTCTGCTAGATCCCCTCAGCTGCTTCAATGGCCACACTCGCCCTCCGATGTCTGATGTCCCAGCCTCATCCCGTGCCGACCCGAGGCCGTGTTGCACTCTCGTCAAGTCCTTCAAGGACCCCCCCCCCCGACAGACGACGCTGCACCCCGTGGCCTCGGGGCTTCCCCTCGACCGCTCGCCTCCAGATGCACCGCACACGCGACCCACCACAACCCCCTCATTACAACTCCCTCCCTCCCTCTATCACCACATTCCACCACGAACCTCCACCTTGTTTCCCTACTCCAGCTACGGAATTCGGATTCCTGTAATCGACCGCGACCGTGGCCCTACCAGGGCCGCAGGCCAGGGGGGGTGGGGGGAAGGTGGCCTCCACTCACCTCTCGGGCTGCCGCGCCGCCTCCTCCTGCCTCACGTCCGCGCGCTTGCGGCGCAGCGGCGCAGGGATGTGCGCGGGTTGCCCTGGGGGCGCCGCCTGCTGCTGCTGCTGCTGCTGCCCCGCGGGCTGACTCTGGGTCTGTTTGCCCGGGAGGAACTGGTTGAAGGGCAAGGCTGGTCGCGGCTCGGAGCCCAAGGAGGAGCGCCTGGCAGACATGTCGTCGTCTTCCCGCCGGGCCGCGTCGGGGCTCACTGACGCCGCGGAGCCGCTGCCGCCGGCTGGGGCGCTCGGCGCCTCGTGGCCGGGGACCGCCGGCGAGGGGAGCCGCTCGCAGCCGTAGGAGCGGCCGCGAGCGTGCGACGCCGCGGGGGGTCGGGGGAAGCCCGGGGACTCCGGGTCGCGGTGGAGCCCCGGTGAGGGGCGGGTGACGCTCGGGTCCTGCGAGAGGAGAGGGGGCGGGAGGGGGGGCGCGCGCCGGAGCGTCACGGCTCAGGTGACCAGCAGGTGCTCGAGAAAGTCCCGGGCAGGTGTGCGTGACGGTGTCACACAGGTGTGTGGGTGCAGTGTCACACAGGTGTGTGGGTGTAGTGTCACACAGGTGTGTGGGTGCAGTGTCACACAGGTGTGTGGGTGCAGTGTCACACAGGTGTGTGAGTACAGTGTCACACAGGTGTGTGAGTACAGTGTCACACAGGTGTGTGGGTGTAGTGTCACACAGGTGTGTGGGTGTAGTGTCACACAGGTGTGTGGGTGCAGTGTCACACAGGTGTGTGAGTACAGTGTCACACAGGTGTGTGGGTGTAGTGTCACACAGGTGTGTGGGTGTAGTGTCACACAGGTCTGTGGGTGCAGTGTCACACAGGTGTGTGGGTGTAGTGTCACACAGGTGTGTGGGTGCAGTGTCACGCAGGTGTGTGGGTGTAGTGTCACACAGGTGTGTGGGTGCAGTGTCACACAGGTGTGTGGGTGCAGTGTCACACAAGTGTGTGAGTACAGTGTCACACAGGTGTGTGGGGACAGTGTCACACAGGTGTGTGGGGACAGTGTCACACAGGTGTGTGGGTGCAGTGTCACACAGGTGTGTGGGGACAGTGTCACACAGGTGTGTGGGTGCAGTGTCACACAGGTGTGTGGGTGCAGTGTCACACAGGTGTGTGGGTGCAGTGTCACACAGGTGTATGGGTGCAGTGTCACACAGGTGTGTGGGTGCAGTGTCACACAGGTGTGTGGGTGCAATGTCACACAGGTGTGTGGGTGTAGTGTCACACAGGTGTGTGGGTGTAGTGTCACACAGGTGTGTGAGTACAGTGTCACACAGGTGTGTGGGTGTAGTGTCACACAGGTGTGTGGGGACAGTGTCACACATGTGTGTGGGGACAGTGTCACACAGGTGTATGGGTGCAGTGTCACACAGGTGTGTGGGTGCAGTGTCACACAGGTGTGTGGGTGCAATGTCACACAGGTGTGTGGGTACAGTGTCACACAGGTGTGTGGGTGTAGTGTCACACAGGTGTGTGGGTGCAGTGTCACACAGGTGTGTGGGTGTAGTGTCACACAGGTGTGTGGGTGTAGTGTCACACAGGTGTGTGAGTACAGTGTCACACAGGTGTGTGGGTGTAGTGTCACACAGGTGTGTGGGGACAGTGTCACACATGTGTGTGGGGACAGTGTCACACAGGTGTGTGGGGACAGTGTCACACAGGTGTGTGAGTACAGTGTCACATAGGTGTGTGGGTGTAGTGTCACACAGGTGTGTGGGTGCAGTGTCACACAGGTGTGTGGGTGCAGTGTCACACAGGTGTGTGAGTACAGTGTCACACAGGTGTGTGGGTGTAGTGTCACACAGGTGTGTGAGTACAGTGTCACACAGGTGTGTGGGTGCAGTGTCACACAGGTGTGTGGGTGTAGTGTCACACAGGTGTGTGGGTGTAGTGTCACACAGGTGTGTGGGGACAGTGTCACACAGGTGTGTGAGTACAGTGTCACACAGGTGTGTGGGTGTAGTGTCACACAGGTGTGTGGGGACAGTGTCACACAGGTGTGTGGGTGTAGTGTCACACAGATGTGTGAGTACAGTGTCACACAGGTGTGTGGGTGTAGTGTCACACAGGTGTGTGGGGACAGTGTCACACAGGTGTGTGGGTGTAGTGTCACACAGGTGTGTGAGTACAGTGTTACACAGGTGTGTGGGTGCAGTGTCACACAGGTGTGTGGGTGCAGTGTCACACAGGTGTGTGAGTACAGTGTCAGACAGGTGTGTGGGTGTAGTGTCACACAGGTGTGTGGGGACAGTGTCACACAGGTGTGTGGGTGCAGTGTCACATAGGTGTGTGGGTGTAGTCTCACACAGGTGTGTGAGTACAGTGTCACACAGGTGTGTGGGTGCAGTGTCACACAGGTGTGTGGGGACAGTGTCACACAGGTGTGTGGGTGTAGTGTCACACAGGTGTGTGGGGACAGTGTCACACAGGTGTGTGGGTGCAGTGTCACACATGTGTGTGGGGACAGTGTCACACAGGTGTGTGGGTGCAGTGTCACACAGGTGTGTGGGTGTAGTGTCACACAGGTGTGTGGATGCAGAGTCACACAGGTGTGTGGGGACAGTGTCACACAGGTGTGTGGGTGCAGTGTCACACAGGTGTGTGGGTGCAGTGTCACACAGGTGTGTGGGTGCAGTGTCACACAGGTGTGTGGGTGCAGTGTCACACAGGTGTGTGGGGACAGTGTCACACAGGTGTGTGGGGACAGTGTCACACAGGTGTGTGAGTACAGTGTCACACAGGTGTGTGGGTGTGGTGTCACACAGGTGTGTGGGTGCAGTGTCACACAGGTGTGTGGGGACAGTGTCACACAGGTGTGTGGGTGCAGTGTCACACAGGTGTGTGGGGACAGTGTCACACAGGTGTGTGTAGTGTCACACAGGTGTGTGGGGACAGTGTCACACAGGTGTGTGGGTGCAGTGTCACACAGGTGTGTGGGGACAGTGTCACACAGGTGTGTGGGGACAGTGTCACACAGGTGTGTGAGTACAGTGTCACACAGGTGTGTGGGTGCAGTGTCACACAGGTGTGTGGGGACAGTGTCACACAGGTGTGTGGGTGTAGTGTCACACAGGTGTGTGGGGACAGTGTCACACAGGTGTGTGGGTGCAGTGTCACACATGTGTGTGGGGACAGTGTCACACAGGTGTGTGGGTGCAGTGTCACACAGCTGTGTGGGTGTAGTGTCACACAGGTGTGTGGATGCAGAGTCACACAGGTGTGTGGGGACAGTGTCACACAGGTGTGTGGGTGCAGTGTCACACAGGTGTGTGGGTGCAGTGTCACACAGGTGTGTGGGTGCAGTGTCACACAGGTGTGTGGGGACAGTGTCACACAGGTGTGTGGGGACAGTGTCACACAGGTGTGTGAGTACAGTGTCACACAGGTGTGTGGGTGTGGTGTCACACAGGTGTGTGGGTGCAGTGTCACACAGGTGTGTGGGGACAGTGTCACACAGGTGTGTGGGTGCAGTGTCACACAGGTGTGTGGGGACAGTGTCACACAGGTGTGTGTAGTGTCACACAGGTGTGTGGGGACAGTGTCACACAGGTGTGTGGGTGCAGTGTCACACAGGTGTGTGGGGACAGTGTCACACAGGTGTGTGGGGACAGTGTCACACAGGTGTGTGGGGACATGCGCATACCTCGCCCGCGTGGCATACGCCGCGCGTCACGTGACAACACAACTCGTCGTCGCGAGTGTCACGTGGGGCCGCTCGGTGTCATCTCAACAGCAGCCGCGCGGTCCGCCCACCTCGCAGAGCTGAGCGCGAGCCAATTACCCCCCTCCCCCTTTCACCCCCCCCCCCACAACCGTGTCCCCTATCCCCCGCGTCCCTCCTCCCCTACACACTGACCCCCACCCCTCTCTCGCCACTCAACTCTCACATCTCGTGGGGAGCTGAAGTCGCTCCTTCTCGCGTCACCTGGTAACGAGCGAAGACGCGCGGAAGAAGGTGGGGGTCGGGTGGGGGGGGGCACCTCGCGCGCCTCTTGTGAGGAGTCCGTCCAGCGTCCGGCCGGGGCTCAGGTTTGCTCCATGGGAACGCGGCCACGCAGCGAGTCTAAATGCAGCGCCACGCTAATGATAGCCACGCGGCGGCAGCACCCCGCACCCCCCTCTCTAGCTCCCGTTACTCCTCCTCCTCCCCTCCTCCTCTCTCCTCCCACTCCACCCCCCAGACACACGCCCAGAACGCTTATCAGGCCGTGTCCCGCATTTAGAAAGCCAACAATCCTCGGCTAATCGCGCGCTCCGAGTGAGTCCCACGCACAGCCCCTCCCCTCTCCCTTTCGGCCCTTCACGGTCCACGGGACTGCGACGAATCCCGGAGGCTCGCCGCCTCTGGCGAAGCGCGGCTAACGAGAGTGCGGTTAATGGAGGTGCCGTGTTGGTTTACAGGAGTGCGGTGTACAGGCGTGCGGATTATCGCATTTAAAAGGTCGAACAGTGTGGAGCTTCGCGTGTCTCCCCTTGCATGCGCGCTGCGTTTTCTCTGGGCCCTTCCCGCACGAAGCCAGACCCTCATTAATCGAGTTGGCCACACATCCCAGTGAATCAGGACTCTCCCGACTAAACGAGTCTCGAGATTCATCAAGGCGCTCCTGGACGAATAATGGATTGGAGGACTCAGGGAGGGGAGTGGTGACACAGTGGTTAGCGCACTACACTGCGTACACGCTTACCCGAGTTCGAATCGCGTCCACGGCTGACATCAGTGGTGAGTGATATCTGAATAGTCATGGGCTTCCCACTCGCTTCACGCCCCGCACAGAGCCAGCGCGAAGTGCAAGCCAGCAAGCCGCCGAGGTGCGAGACGGCGTGGGGAGGCCTTCATCCAGCAGTGAATAAATTAGGGGACGCGCGAAGGGGACGCGCGGCGCGTACCTCGCCGACAGCCCCCGTTAGGACCCCTGTGAAGACCCCCTTGTCTAGACGGGGGACACGGCTGACGCTCTCGGATGCTCTTCCCAGGCAGTAGATGGTGGTCAGCACCTGCGGGCGGAGGGGCGGGCGTGAGAGGGGGAGGGCTCGGGGGGGGGGGGGCTTTGAATATCGGGGGGCCCTCACGAGGAGTCCCCGGAGGTGCCGCGTCATCGCCAGCCGCGCCGCGCGCGTCACGGGGCCGTGGCCAGTGCCGTGAAGATCTCCTGCCTCTGTCACCCGCGCGATCACCGAAGGTGACAGGGGCAGCGCGACTACAACCTCGTCCGTTGCTGCATTCGCTCTACACCGACGTTGAAGAGACAACGAAGGCCTCGCCCCGTTTTAAAGGGCCACGTGTCAACGTCCGCAGCGCGCCGTGACACGATCTCTAAATCAAAGTTCATCAAAGTTGACAGCCGCCTCTCTCTCTCGCAGCGCTCCAGTGACGTCTCTCCTGAGCCGGGAGGCGAAGCCTCGTGCATGGCGGGTGGGGGGTGCAGATACTCACATTCCTCAGCCTCCTCTCTTCCTCCTCCTCTTCCTGCTCCTCTGCCCTGCGAATTGAAACCACGCACGCACACAGCAGCAGCGGTGGCCGTTAGTGGCGACGAGCCACACACAAAGTTCGACTCCAGGTCCCGCCGCGGCCGCGTGAGTGAGCGGCGTTGATAGCCCCGAAGGAGAAGGTGACCGATCGTCCACCCCCCCCCCCCCCCCCCCCAGGCATCGGGCGTGTTGGGGGGGGGTGAATGGGGGGAAGGGGGGGTCGGAGTGACGGACACTCGCGCGTGTTACTCGCAAACAGTGGGCAGTGTGAGTGGTGACATCCCCCTCCACTTCGACCTCCCCCACCCCAACATCCTCCTCCCCCACCAGCCCCCGGCCTAGCCCCCACCCTCATACCGTGTCACGGCGAGAGCCCATTACAGAAGCTGTGCGTCAACCGGGCGAGATGAGGTTCGGAATGCGAGCCACACGCGGGAAGGTGGAGATCGCCGTTAGTCGACCTTCACTCTGCTGAACCCAGCTACGGCGACTGCTGGGTGGACGTAGACGGGCCCACGGTATCTTCAGAAGCGTTGCTCCGTTGCTGTGACTGCCTCGCCGAGAGATCGAATCTCGCAGGGATACATCTCTGGGTTGCCAGCCACGTGGGTTGCTTACCGTTGCACCACCCCGACATCATCCCCGAATAAATAGAAACAATTTATACCGCCACCTAAAATTAATGTTTGCTCTTCGCTCAGCTGTGCCCAGTTCCGATGGCAGAAATAAACACGGGGGGAGAGGGGAGGGGGAGAGGGGAGGGGGGACGGGGGGAGGGGGAGGCGTGGCGTGGGGGGCGGAGGGTGGGGGGCTCCATGAGAAACCCGCGTCACCAGAAACCGAGCACAACATATGAATTAGCGTCGTCGTGGAGAATGCGAGGAACAAAATCAATAACCAGACCCTGCGACTCCTCCACTCGTCCCTCCTTCGGCGTTGCAAACACTCAAGCGCCTTCTTTACACATCCCCTCAGCCACACGGCATTGTTGGGAGTACATCAATCCAGCAGCGTTGGTTAAACACGAACAAAAAAAACGTCGGACATCAATGCCGAACAGCACGCGGTACAAGAGAAACACAAGACAAAGATCTCCCTTATAGCCTCAACATACGTTTGGGGCAAGTGCTGTGAGCGGGCACGGAACACGAGGGGGTGGGTGGCCAGCACCACGCCCGGCCGCCTTTGTATTCCCAGTGGCAATATTTACACACCGCACCAGGTACTCATTTGAGTTTGAGTCGACCTGGGGGAGGCCAAGGACCGGTTCAGTTAAACCTCATTGGTATTGGCCATGGGCTGCCACGGGAGGGAATCGTGGCGCAGCGTACTAATGACTGCGCCACCTCTCCCCGAAAGCACGGGAGAGCGACAGGCGTGTGGTGACATAATTGTGGGGGCAGGGGGAGGATTGGCGGTAGGGGTTGTAGGTGGGGGTGCGGGAGGAGGAGAAGAGCTGCCACCAGGACCCACGGGTTCTGGGCGGCACACTCCCCGCGGCTTGTGGGTTCAGCGCGGTGTGCGCATAATCATAATCATGAAAACAAATATAAGTATAACTTTTAACTGGAAACTCTCGTACAGACAGAAGCGCCATGAGGAGGAGGAGGAACCAAAGACGGGCTGTAAGGCAGTAGCAGCAGCAGCCACGCGATAAGACGATGCCACCAAAATTTGCTCAAGCTCCGCGGCCCTCTAGAAATATATGAAGGTGTTATCATGTAAGTGATGAGCGTTCATCGGTGTAGGTGGAAACTGGAGCATCCGCAGAAAATCTCACGCGTGCGAGGGTGCAACATGATCCACGAACCCTTGCCTACAAAGCGTTGGATCACCGTCGATGTCATTACCGTCACCATCACCGTCATCTCGAAAATCACCATCATCTCCATAATTGCCATCACCGTCATCTTCATGATCATCATCACCATCATCTTCATAATCATTACCATCATCACCGTCATCTTCATGATCATCATCACCGTCATCTTAATAATTATCATTACCATCATCATCACCGTCATCTTCATAATCATCGTGACTGTCATCATCTGCATCACTCGACATAGCTGCGGGAGAATTATCTTCCTCTGTACTGCCACTCACCACGTCTCCCCCCCCCCCCCACATCACCTCCTCTCCCCACACACCACCTCCTCACCTCGTGTGCGCTAATTGGGCCCAGTCATTACCATTCCCGCGCACGCGCGCGCCCGCGGACGGATGATGACAGTGGCTGGAGCCGAGCCAGCGCCGCCGAGTAAACTCGAGCGCGTGGAAAGCGGAGGAGAGGGAAAGAGATGGGTGGAGAGGTGAGAGCGGCAGAGAGGAGCGGATGAGAGAGGAGCAGACGAGATAAGAGAAGAGCAGAGGGAATGAGAGAGGAGGCGCGACATGCTACATGGGACCACATTACTGTGTTACCTCGTCCAGTGCATGGGTCAACTCTAGCCCAGCCTTTGCGTCAACCCAGACGCGGGGCTCTGACTCCGTCGTGCCCGCCAATGCCACAGATTGTTACATCCCCATTAATTGTATATCCACTCCACGGTAGTCGCCCTGTCAGGCGCGTTCCTTCCTTTGGCTGCCATTCTGTCACTCGTCTCGTCCATCGGATATCATCAATTCTAGATTATGTTTTCTGGCCAAGCAGTGTGTTTTAACTGGCCAGGAGCACGCGTGTGTGTACTTTTGGGTGCACTTTGTTTTTGTGCGCGTGCCGGTGGCTGTTTCTATTTCTCTGGGTGAGCGCACAGCCCCGAATTGTCGCTCCCGGAGCGACGCGGACAGATGTCTCGCTCCGAGTGTCCTGGGACGCTCCGAGTGTCCTGGGACGCTCCGAGTGTCCTGGGACGCTCCGAGTGTTTCTCCACCTCCAGACCGCGCGGTCCCTTCCTCATTCAGCTCCCTTGTTAAAAGCTAAATCGATGACACGGCGCTGAATAAAGCCATTATGAGAATTCTTAACAACTCAAATCGATCATTAGGGAGGTTTCGGAGAATAGCAGTAACTCTGCTGATTAGACACTGTGTGTCTAAATCAGTCCAGAGTTTCCCTGTCAAACCCATCGAAAAGCGTGGGTTTTATCCGGGTGCTCCGGTTTCCTACCACATGCTTTGTTGAAAACATCTTAACATATAGAGGACCGCAGAGCTTGGACTCAACACCGAGTGGCTGCTACTGCTGCCTCCCCGCTCGTCTGTGGTTTCTGCCCTTTCCCTCCCTCTCACTTCGAGAGCGAACGAACACTGCGCAGTGGCGGCGCGTCACGGCCCGGTGTGGGCGGCGTGTGCCTCCCCTAGGTCGGCTCAGCCTGAACGGTACGCGGGCGCGCGCGGCGGTGGCTGTCGGTCGCTGGCGAACAGCCGCGCAGTTGTCGGCGCGGGGTGGCGACGTGACGGCTCGAAGTGAGGGTGGAGGGGCGCTCAGTGCGGCCCGTGTCCGTGGCAGGGGCTGGTGGAAAAGTCCCCACCGCCCGTCCCCCATGCCCAGCACAGCCCCCCAGCTTGTGCCATTGTGCGGGGGGAGCCCCGGGATTGGTGTGGGGTGAGAGGCGACATTGTGCGCGCCACGGTACGCGTGACATCACCGGGGTAGGCGCGGGTCCAACACAGCGAGCGCTTTAGAGGCAGCAGCGGCAGTGGCGGAAGCGACAGTAACAGCAGTAGTAGCAACAACACCACCAGCAGCAGTAACAGCAGCAGTAGCAACAACACCACCAGCAGCAGTAACAGCAGCAGTAGCAACAACACCACCAGCAGCAGTAGCAACAACACCAGCAGCAGTAAGAGCAGCAGTAGCAACAACAGCAGCAGCAGTAACAGCAGCAGTAGCAACAACACCAGCAGCAGTAACAGCAGTAGTAGCAACAACAGCAGCAGCAGTAACAGCAGCAGTAGCAACAACAGCAGCAGCAGTAACAGCAGCAGTAGCAACAACAGCAGCAGCAGTAACAGCAACAGTAGCAACAACAGCAGCAGCAGTAACAGCAGCAGTAGCAACAACACCAGCAGCAGCAGTAGCAACAACACCAGCAGCAGCAGCTGCAGAGGTCACCTACAGAGGCAGCAGCAGTAAGAGCAGCAGTACCAACAACAACCCCAACAACACGACCGGAGCAGAGGGAGAGCGGGACACTTCTAGAGGGGGGAGGGGGTGAGCGGTCCCTAATGGGAAGCTTGTTAAGCGGGGCCCTACATTAACAATACAAACAGCAACAGCACAACCTCGTTCAACGTATTTTCTCTGGAAAATATACACAACATTCTACTCACGTGTGTGGGGTCTCAAGGGACCGCTGGCCCCGTCGCCCCCCACCCCCATCACCACCGCGCCCCTCCTCTGACCCCCAACTTTGACCCATCACTGACTCGGAGGGAAGAGAGGAGTTGCGATCACCGCGCTCAGCTCAGTGGTGTGGGGGGGAGGGGCTCGGGGCGTCGTGTTCTGGGGGTCGAGGACAGCGGTGGTGAAGTGGTCAGCGCACAGCACTACGGACCCGGCCACTTGGGTTCGATTCCCGCTTACAACCAAATATGACCTCTTCACGACGGACATTTCAAGCGGCCTCCTCCTCGATCTCGACTCAGTGTTAAATGAGTAACTGAGTATTTGGTGTGCTGTGTAAACATCAGCACTGCGGAGACAAAGGCGGCCGGGCGTGCTGTTGACCTCTCTCGCGTGCCGTGTCCTGCTTGTAAGGAGCACTTGCCCCAACAGCATGTTCGAGGTTATACGCGGGATCTTTGTCTTTGGAGGAGAGCGTGAGTAGATGGTGGAGGTGTCGGGGCAGGACAGGCTGTGAGTCGGGGGTGAGTTGATAGGAGCACCGCCGCGTGACCTCTTGACCTCGTAAAGTTTCGAGCGCGCGTGGCGTTTAGGGTGACCTACAGCTCACCACAGCCAGTGCCGTCGCCCCCTTCCTTATGCCAGATCACGCGGCCGTCCCAGAGTCTCAGCCCGACCACCGAGAACTGTTACAGTTTCATCCCAATATCGCGCTTGAGGCCTGAGGCCCGTGTCTCACAGTCAGCGCGTGGTCCCCCAAGGGTACAGATATAAAGGTGCAAGCGCAGCCCTGCAATTTCTGTGCTCACGCCACTGCCGGCGGCAGAAGTGTCCACCAGAGATAACTCGAGAGGGCCCCTCTTGTAAGAGGGGGGAGTACTCAGGTTGGACCCCACCACTGACGGCTCAACAGAGGCGGCAGAGATGCAAGAAAACCGCCCATTAATCAAACACGTCACTCTTATTCGTGGAATGCACGGCCAAACATTCCAATGTAGCAGAACCACAGTTAAATTCCTCAATCGATATTTTCCGGATCGCTGCTAGGCTGACTTCCGAGTATCAATAATGGCGTAAGGCACTACCACTAGAATACAAGGCAGATTACTATTCATAATAATCTTGTATTATTGTACTCCACCAGCAACATTCACTCGTGGCTACACCACGGGAAGGGGAGTAGCATCAAGGATGCAATATAATGGAAAAATACGTGGCAGTAATAAAGGGAGTAGATAAGGCGAGAGAGCATGGGGACTAAGAGGAAAGGGATGGGAAGAGAAGGGAGAAACGGGAGCACAGGGGTCGGGAGAGACGAGGCATCAGGACCTCGACGCTGCCGTACAGAGGCGGAGCAGCGTCTGTTTTCACAGGGGGTGGGGTTAGAGGGGAGGGGTTCAGAGTGGGGGTGGCCACGCAGAAGCCGCGTGTTTGTACGGAGAATTGATTGAGACGGAGAGATGGATATTCGTATGATTCTGTCAAGGGGCGTTGTGAGGAGAGGGCAAAGCGAGATAAAGGTGGCTGGGTGCCAGAAGAGTTTCGGGCTCTTCTGGCTGAGCAGAACACTCCTGGAAAAAGAGTCTCAGAGGCTCTTTGAGACGATACTCTGTTTATAGAAAGGTCATCCTCGAGATTATAAACGAGGCATTCTCCTTGGCTGTAGGACACTATTATGTAATATGTCAGGGGGCAGTCGGGCAGGCGGGCGGCATGAGTGGCCTGTGTTTGCGTTAGAGCGACAGAGAGAATGAGAGCGTGAGTACGTGAGAGAGTGTGAGAGCATAAGAGAGAGAGTGTGAAAGTGTGAGAGCGTAAGAGAGAGAGAGTACGTGAGAGACTGTGAGAGCGTAAGCGAGAGAGTCTGAAAGTGTGAGAGCGTAAGATAGAGAGAGAGAGAGTACGTGAGAGAGTGTGAGCGCGTAAGATAGAGAGTGTGAAAGTGTGAGAGCGTAAGAGAGAGAGTACGTGAGAGAGTGTGAGAGCGTAAGAGAGAGAGTCTGAAAGTGTGAGAGCGCGCTCAAGATGTGCCTGAGTAATCGCACGCGAGGGAGTCCTCATGTGTAGGTGGGGGGAGGAGGAGGGTAGGGGGGGTCACGTACGTGAGGGGTTCGACGTTCAGGTCACAGCAGGGGTCAAATAGCTGGGAGCTCCGCACTCCGAGGCGTGCACAGCCGCTCCTGAACGCGCGGTGGAACCCCTGCGGGGGGAGGGGGTGAGGGGATGTGAGAGACGGGGAGTGGGGATTGGTGGGGCACGAAGGTGAAGCAAGGAGAGGGGTGGGGGGATAGAGAGACGCGCGCACACGCGGTGGCTCAGCCCCCCCCCCTCACGATCCTGCCCACTCTCCGCCCCCCCCCCAGCGCCAGTCGTGTCCCGCACGGCCCGCTGACGGTGCGAGGCGCAGGGCCGATTGATCCCAACGCGCGCCTCGCCCGTGGGGATAACTTCTCTCTGACCCCAACCCCATCGCCGTGACACTTTACTTTTGGTGATCACAAAATCATGATGATTATGATTAGAATGATAATGTAACCTATGATGATGGCATTGAAGTCGACGATGATGATATCCATGATGTTTCGTTTTTTGCTCTTTCCACGCACCTCCGATTAGCACAATTGGCTACGTACGGTGCGAAAGAAGTTAAATATACATACACGTTCTTGCGTATGTCAATGGTGTTAATTTTAACGATGGGCATCATGTTCATGACGATGATGTTAATGATGTCGATATTAATGATTATAGTAATGATGATGTCCATGATGATGTTGGATCGAAGGGGGCAGCTGTGCGTGGCAGAGCTCTCGAGCCGAGCGCGTGGAGTGCGAGGCTCTTCAGGAGCCACTGAGCCCCCCCCGGCTACTCCACCACGAGCACCACTCCACCAGCCCCACTCCCCCTATACATATGCACACATGTATACACACGTGCACACACGTATACACACATGTATACACACGTGCACAAAAAGACAAAGATCCCCCGTATAGCTTTAACAGACACCACAACCGACCGCCTTTGTCTCCCTAGTTAGCGATGTTTACACATCGCACCAGGTGCTCATTTCAGGCTGAGTCGACTTAGGGGAGGCCCAGGACCGGTTCAGATAATCGTCACTGGTGTTGGCCGTGATCGGGAATCGAACCCGGGTCACCGGGTTCATAGCGCAGCGCAATAACCGCTACACTACCGCTCCCCTTTCGCACGCACACACACACAATAACACACACACACAATAACACACACACAATAACACATTTTCTCTCACACACACAATAACACAATAACACAACACATTATCTCTCACACACACAATAACACACACAATAACACAACACATTCTTTCTCACACACAATAACACACACACAATAACACAACAGATTCTCTCTCACACAACAAGAACAAAACAACTGCCATTCGCCACTAAGTGGCGGTGACGTCACCACGACGCTTGTGCCAGGCCATGTGCACCTTGAGGCCACGTGAAGTGTCGAACGCCCGCTAGCAGGAGGTCACGGGGCAGACCCAGGTGCCACGGGTCGACTGACTGAGATGACTGGCTGATGCACCACCTGTGCCCCCTACTGTGCCAACCTGCTGTGCTTTAGCCACCCGGCGCTCCGCTCGTTGTTGTGAGCGTCGCTCCTCCGCCCTCCGTTGTTGTTGAAGGGCGACTGCCTCCAACTGCCCAGTAGCGTCCTTCACGAGCCTCCTCCACAGAGGCCGATCTTGACACGGCTGGTACCAGTCATCGGCAAGTCCACTCAGCTCCACGTCCTCCTGTACCGCGTCACTCCATCTCTTCTCTAGCCCGTGCCGCGCCCGTTTAGCCCCCTCGATCCGGCCGAACAAAAGCTGTTTCGGCATGCGGTGGCTGGGCATTCGGGCTACATGACCCAGCCAGCGCAGCCTAGCCTGCCGGAGGAGCTCACCGATGGGACCGTGCCCAGATCTTTCAAGGATTCGTGAGCTCCTCACACAATCCAGCCTGGTTAAACCCAGGATGGATCGTAGGCAGGCCAGCCTAAATGTTTATAACCGGCGAAAATGTTCCATTAGGGGGGTCCACGTTTCGCAAGCGTAGAGAAGGGAGGGAATGACCGTGGCCGAGAAGACCTGAAGCTTCGTGCGAAGCGACAGACCAGGTAGCTTCCACACAGCGTTACGCAACCGATTAAAAGATATTTCCGCTCGACTGATTCGGAGTGAGACCTCTGCTGTTAAACTGGAGCCGGTCATAAGCACACTGCCCAGGTATGGAAAACTCTCCACTCTCTCCACAACTGCCCCATCACCGATTGGGAGTTGTGGGGGTGGAGTGTCCGATGGTACAAAATACCCAGGCAGGTGCTTAGTTTTGGTGGGCTGATGGTAAGGCCCCATCTCTTAGTAGCACGCTCCAGTCTCAGCAGCAGCGTCTCCAACTCCTCCTCTGAATGAGCAGCTATTACCAAATCATCGGCATACATAACGTGGTTGAGCAATAGGGAACCATCCCTTGACCGCACCCGGGCATCGATCAGCCTTCCATCATATCTGTACCATATGGAGATTCCCTCGGTACAGCTATTGGAGGCTTCACGAACAACGTGGTCAAAATAGATGTTAAATAATGTGGTAGCCAGAGTACATCCCTGTCGCACCCCAAGGTGTACAGGGAATGGCTCTGACTCCCCGCCACGTAGTTTTACCCGGGCCCGCTCACCATCATGAAGGTCCTTAATGATCGTGAGCAGAGGGTCAGGTACTCCAAAAGCACGAAGAACAACCCAGAGCCCAGGCCTACTGATGGCATCATAGGACTTGACCAGGTCAATAAAGCAACGATGTAGGTCTTGCTGGAACTCCCTACACCTCTGCTGTAGCAGACGGACAGAAAATATGGCATCTGTGCAGGACCGCCCTTTCCTGAAACCGCATTGGGGCTCCGCAAGCCTCTCCTCAGCGTGCCTGGCAAGGCGATGTTGAATAATCCTTGCCAGGACACACACAGTCACACACACACAATCACACACACACACACCGTCACACACACACACACAGTCACACACACACAGTCACACACAGTCACACACACACGCACTCTCACGCTCACTCAGCTATTACTCTCGGACGAGAAATAAATAGTTTACACTCATTTTGGGAAACAAAATTGCTGGCATATAAATTAACGTTTTAATCACATCACGTTGATCTCAACATGTATAAAATCGGATATTATCAATCATGCAAACAGATGGATTACGTAAACGCTTTCTATCACACGATTGTCGTCGGGAGTGCTGAGCAATGACGAGGTCAACGTGCAACAACCTTTTGGCGCTGGTTAGCTTGTGTTTGTCTTGCCAAGCGATGTGGATCCTCTGGTCGGTGCCCGCGTGGAGCTACCTCCCAGTAGTGCACCTCCAGACTCCACGTGAGCGCTCTATGGGGTCATCTTCACAAGCGTGCACGTGCCCCCCGCCGCTGCCTCCCCCCTCCATAGCCTCCACTCACACCCCATAAGGCACGCACAGACGGACAGTTGTGCTATTATTATTTACGAATGTGTCCATGATTTCGTATGAAATCTCTGCACGGAGAGAGTCGAGAATATCTTGACGCGTCATAGCCACATTGTGACAGCGAGGAAGAGCCACAAACGAGCGGGAAGGCAGCAGCTACGGGATGAACCTGCGCCCCAAGCTCTACAGTCCTCTACATGTTAAGGTGCTCGCTGCTAATTATGAATGTTTACAACGTGGGCAACACTCACGCGTGCGTGCGTGCATGGGGGGCAACGCTCGATCCCATACAGACGGAACAGGTGGATTCAACATGCTTGCTGTACTACATTCTCCTGGCGAGCCAGGCCCGGGACGGCTCCTGCTCGACGCCCATGGGGAGGGAGTTCCACGCGACGTCTGTGCGTGATCCACCAACCCGTCACTTCTCTCGCAGTTTATGCGGAACGCCCACGTGGTGTGGCGCTCGCCTCTGTCTCGCGCCGTGACATGTGGATCTATTCTGGTGACGTTGTAGAGGGCAGCGGGGGGGAGGCGCAGGGTGAGGGGGGGGGGCGTGGGGGGGGGCTTCTCGGAAATGCTGGGATGCTTCACGTTGGGTTGCAGGACCTGATCGCTCAGGAGCGTGCGTCAACATCGCTCGCGCCGTTAGTCAGAGTAAACCACCGTGGCCTGGGCTCCGGAGGAGGAGGAGGAACAGCAACACGACACGAACTCTCTCTCTCTCTCACGAATCCCTCTCGCCGTGGTCAGCAGCAGCGGACCTCACCATTGGAGTTCAGCTTTTGAACCACATCGCTGTTGCTGCTACTGCTGATCCCGCTGCCATCATGCTCAAGAATAGAAGATAAATCGTGGCCTTAACTATTCAATCCACATTCTCGATTCCATCCGGGGGCAGAGCTCCCCTCGGTTGCTCCTCCGGGCTGCTACCGCCCGACTCGGGGCTCGCCCATCTGGCTGTTGCTGCTGATTCTCGTCCTGGTGGGTAACGTTTTTGTTTGGCACCGACAAATCTGACCCCCTCCCCTCCTACCCCCCTCCTATCCCCCGCATCTCCCCCTTTATCTCCCTACTTTACCATCACGACAACTCTCAGATTCGATTATTGCTGTGCGCGGCTCACATCAGATCCATGGGACCCCTCATAGCCTCCGCCCCCCGCCCCCATCTGCACCAACCCACACTGACATATCGTGGTGAAGTATGGCCAAACAGCCAGGAATGGCCGACAAGGCGTGCGGAGGGCCTTCATCCAGCAGCGGATTGACAAAGGGGCTGCACAAAATCCACATCATCATCATCAACATCATAAACATGATCGTGATGATGAACATCGTCATGATCAGCAGTGATCAGGGTGCCAACTCGAGTCCCTGCGACCCTCACCGCTGTTAACTTCTCCTTGACCCCGGCGCTGGCTCCCCGTGGAATCGATGTCTCGTGGAAAAATCGTTCCACGCCAACCACGGGAGTCAACGATTTCCCCGTCAGCGCGACGGTCACAGCCACCGTGCGCAACCGAGCGAGCCCTGCGCCATGACCCAGCCGTGAAACAAACACGCCACCTACCCTCCCAACCAAACAGCAACGCGCCAACTCACCAATCCACCAACCAACACACCGCCTACCCACCCATACACCTACCGACTCACCCCCCCAGCCAGCTAGCCACACACCTACATATCC